CATTTAAAGAAATTCACTGCTTTCTGTTTGTCATCTTCAGTAAACGATCGCAAGCCATTCCAGCTCATGTCTTCATCCTCGTCACCATCGTCCTCTTCATCTGAAAGACTTGTATTTTCCAAGGTTTTTTTTCTCAACTCAGGGTGAAAATGAAACAATGCAACAATATCTTTAGCAGTGGGAAGGGTATCTTTGCTCCAAGGAAACAAACAGACTTCTACCACTCCACTACCTTCATTTCCCCACATTCCTAGAAGAAAAACAGTGAAGGTACTTACTGACAGTCAGGTACAACTCTTCTAAATAACTGAGGTGTACTGTACAGTCACCTGGTCCCAGTCGCTCAAAACCTGGATAGCGATATCCACCATATATATCACTATCCAGTGAGTGGATAGGTATGAGACGGGAAACCAATTGCACTATCCGCTGGATAGAGATTTATCCAGCACTATGCATCCTCTGAACAACTGGGCCCTGACATTACTTCAGAAAATATTTTTTATTACACTGTCATATGAAGTAAATATGGTGCACTGACAGTCTGTAGTCTATAAGGAGGCTTAAAACAGTGTAATCCTGCGGTGAATTTCACAGACAAGATTCAGGCGGCTTGTGGAGCAAAAAGGACCAACAAAACATGTGCAGTCTGAGAATGGACTGTGCAGCTGTACTCTAGATGACATGCAGGTTTATCTGGGTTAATAAATTAATAACTAGTACCTATTGCTAACTCTGCCACTCTTGTTTAGAGAGAGCAGAGAAAGCAAAGTTCCCTACCTACTGTAATTTATATGTACCCAAGCACCCACCCACCTGCATTGAATTCTATTCAATAATTTTACAGTAATTTTCAAGAGTTGAATTTGTTAGTAGTTGTAGATTTCAGATTCAACTCAGTGCATTCCAGTGTGTGTATTATGAACTCAGTGAATTCTCCCTAAGTTTTAGTTATGAAATATTTTCTACCTGCTCAGTTTTCTTCATTTTGATGTACATGTCTTCAATAATCCGGTCAATCTTCTTTGAATTAAGGTTATGATAATCATAAAAAATTCACTGCTCATTATGCATGGATCAGAGGAATGCATATTTTTCATAAAATTACAATTATTAATAATTAAATGGCCATTAAATATTTATTTTATCATTATAAACAGCATCAACTTATCATAGTATTCACTTCACTGTATCATTTGATAGTTACACTCAGTCTGATAACTGAGTAATTTATCCCATTTCATATTCATAAAATTTCAGAACCACAGGGTTAAAAGGAGAGGACTTACCACAGTCTAGATCTAGCTGTTCAGCTGCTTTCTGAATCCTCATTAATATGGCTACAGCCCGGAAGAAATCTTTATATCTCAGATCCTTATCTGACTCAAGTTTGTACTTTGCTAAATGAACTATACCACATTTCCAGCGCTCTGGCGGGTCAGAAAACACATATGCATCTGCAGTCTTATCATCAGCATAACTATCGTCCCAGTAACAGAACCATTCTTCAGGATCTTGCCAAGCAGCTAAATGGCCACTTGGTTGCTCCTCGTTGTCAAAATTATAATGGCTGAGGGTATATGCCTTATAGAATGACTCTGATGAAATGACCTCCTATAATGTCAGAGTGAATTTTGAAAAAAATAATATATACGGTTTAATACACTTAGCAATCATCAGACTAAAAGTTTTATTATACACATACATTTTTGTTAACTTTATTTTCCAAAGTTAACTGCTAATCTGTGAATTTTATAAGACACAGTTGTTCTCTGTTTGTTAGTCGTTCAACTCAACGGGTACTTCTATTCAGTTCCACACACCTTTAAGATAATTGTGCATATGTCTCCAGTGTGATGAACACTACTGTAACAGGCACTCAATGGCACAACAATAACAAGGTCTAGAGGATGACGTTTACCTGTAGTTTCACAAGTTTTTGGGTTCAAATCATTAGACTCATTACATTCTTTGTGATTAAGACCTGGAAAGAGGAGAACACTGCTGATAGCTGGCCCTATTATGAATATTGTAATATTGTGCTATCAATAAAAATTGTAACTTGTATCCCAGCAAGTCATCTTGTGAATAAATCATGAACTAGGACAAGCAAGGAATTGTTTCCAAGCAAGGAAAATCAGTGAGAGCTGCTTCTCAGTCCTATAGGGAGGAGCTGGAATTTGAGCCCCTAGGTTGCACTTCCATCCATTGCCAGTGGGCCTACAGTAAAGATATTTAGCAATTAATGAATGAGGCTGAGTAGGACATGAAGAATTAAGCAGATCGAGGAGGGTGTTATCCACAGAGGCTGAAGGCCGAGGTGGATAACACCCTCCGAGATCTCCATAATTCTTCATATCCTACGAAAGCCGAATTCATTAATTGTTTTATGACTCATTCACAATAATTCCTAGTTTAAAAACATAGCTAAAACATGCTTACCTGCATTGATGTTAAGTTTATCTTTGATAGTGTACGTTTAGGCTTGTCCAGCCCCCCAAATATTCTCCAAATTGCAGATGTCGCCCTCTGAGTTGTCTTCTTACTGTTTTTGCTGTGTTTTTAGCCACTATTTCTCCTAGTTCCAGCTGTAGTTCTTACTCTTGAAACAAGTGAAGTGAGCGCCATTTTGGTTTTCACAACGAAAACAACTCAACCTCGTCCCCAGGTCTTCTCAATTAACGGCGCATTAATCTGTAGAAGGCTGCATTTTTGACGCCATTTCCTCGTTAAACACAAAATTCTTCCAAATTTGGTCATCAGTAACTGGTTATGGTGAATTATGCGTGTGCTTTTAGCCAATCAGAATTCGGGAAATATTTTGAAGGAATAATAATTCACATTAATATCTGCGGGCTAAAATGATAACTTACAAATATAGGGTAAGTGCAGGTAGACATCTCGAGCTCTACATTCACAGAATTCTTTAATATAGCTCACCTTCCAAGTTTTGCACACCAGGGTGCAGTTCAACACATCCTGCACTGGCAAAAATGTCGCAATTTTGCCGATAATTTCTGGAGGAACCGAAGCTACATCAACAAGTGAAGAGGCCATTTTGTAATTTTCTGCAACCCTTACAATGTTTCACTCTACACATGAATATAAAGAAAAAAGGACATTAATTTTTGATAATTTAAAAAGGAAGGAATATTGCATTGTGACATTAAAGCAAAATTAAAAGACATTTAATGTCTTTGTACTTTGACATTAACTTACATGTCTGCTCAAAAGGTCTTTATACCAAGCCTGAATCAAACAAGAAAGTTGAGAGGAAAATGTTTTAAATTAGAGAGACATATTGAACGGAGTAAAATTTTATTTGAAGTCAGATAGATAATTGGTCTAGTTAAAGCCGGGTTGCCTTCTACACAGACTACATTATTATTATATGTGGGCACTACTTTAGTTTGCATTGAATATACACCTATCAGAATTAAATATAACTATATAATGGAACAAAGTTAATCCAACCTCCCCTCCCCCTTCCCAATAATGTATCTCTTCTTGCTCCTGAAAATGACAGGTTCTATATGAAATGGGCCTACCCCTGAAGAAATTTGTCTGTGAAAGGATATGGAAGTTTATCCATGAAGAAGTTACTAAAAAAAATATAGTTTATCAACAACGTTTTTAAGAACTCCAGTACTTTTGCCTCTCCTCAAGTAAAAATTCTACAACTTTTTCAACTTTCTCTAAAGAGCTTTGAAGATTGTGATGATGAAAATTTTATTCCGATCCCCTCCCCCAATCCCCCAACCAACTGGACGGTGATCAGTAGGGATGCTCATCCACAGGGGAAGGGGGTTCAGAAAAACTGGAACGTCAGTCCCATCAATCGATCAATCAATCATATCTTTATTTCAATATTTCGGATTTTAGAGCAGCATTTCTGCTAGTGTCTCCAAAAGAGAAATAATAAGTAAAATGAAATAAAGATAGAAATAGTGCAATTAAAATACAATTTTCATTTAAACATCAATTACACACACATTATATATATAACTATTTTCTAAAAGTTAACTGCTTTATACAATAGCTCAAAAAACACATTTTTCCAGGGTATATTTGGTGACCAGGAGAGTAGTATGGGGGCATGAGATATTTGTGCAGTGATAATTAATTTCTTACGATTAAGCACCGTGCAAACGGACGCAACGTTGTTGGCCAACAACTCCCAACATTGTTGGATGTTACATGTTGCGTCCGTTTCTACACCCTGTAGCATGTTGTTAGATGTTGTTGCGTGTTGCGCAAAGTTTGAAACTGGTCAAACTTTTCAGCCAACAACTCTCAACATTTCTTTTGTTCCGTGATCGCCGAAGCGTCACGCAACAATGTGGGATCTGTTTGCACAGCTCTTCCAACATTGTTGGGGCCACGCACGCTTATTACGCATGGATTACAAAGACTTATGGGTTGTATTTTTCCCACGATGCACTGCAGGTCCTAAACTTGTTGGGAGTTGTTGTATCCGTTTGCACACCACTGCCAACAGGGCGCAATAACTCCCAACATTGTTGGCACAACAATGTTGGGAGCTGTCGCGCCCGTTTGCACGCAGTCTTAGTTTCCCCCTTTCCATTATTTTTGAAAGGATTTAGAAAGAAAGCCGGATTCGTGAATAAAACTAAAATATGGCCTAAGAAATACTGTAAAAATCAAGATCGCCATTCTCTCGAATTAAAGTTTGAACACGATATGATAATAATGGAAAATGCTATAAAAATAAATATAGGTATTGCCCAGAGATTTCAACAAACAATACAATTTTCGTTAAAAAATATCCTACCTGAAATTACCAATTGCAGCCTGCACAATTCGATCGACACAGCACTTTCCAGAAGAGCCAGTCCTCGGACAGACCCACTCTGAAAATTAACGGCTTCTGACAATCATTCACGTTATTTTTCTCATATGCAATATTAAAAGTCAGTGGAAGATATGGCGTGGGAAAACAACCCATTCATCGTTGAATAGTAAATGTCCGACCAAGATATGTGAGGACTGGGTTCCATCCTGGTCTCAGAGTCTTGAAGACGCCTTGCAATTTTTGCCGTTCGTGAAGTTGACCGAAGTTGAGTAATGATTAGTTCTTGACAGAACTATATTTCTTTTCTCAGTATTTTCCGAGATCATTATCGAGGTCGAACTTTCAAAAGAATGGTAAGCTTGATATTTTTAAGTTAGTATTATTCTTGTTTCGATATTATTTTACAGATCGCAAATCCTTCTTTCTTGGAATAACCCGAAATATGAATGAAACGAACATTAACCCGAGCTCAAATTAAAATAGCTAATCATTAAAGCAAAGCCTGTGTGAAAGGTAAGGACCGCAGACGAAGCATGAAACGTGGACTTAGAAATGTTATTTAAAAACTGCTCTAGGAGTGTATAGTTGTGAGGCAAACAGATTGAGGAAATTCTTTTTCATTGTGTTCGTCACGCAATTATTTCTCCCGGGAGAAGGAAAGCACGGGGAAGGATTGCGTGAGAAAGTTGTAAAACTGGCAAGCAAGGAGGTTCATGCCATTTTATTATCAAAATGAGCAGCGCCAAATCATGAACTGACTCGAATGATCGAAACTAACACAGACAACCGATGTCGGAGACTATTTAAATTAGGTCTGGATTTTATGAGACAATAGGGCCATTTATACGAGGAAACATAAGACGCGTCTTAAGACGCGAACTTTCCGTATAAACGGCACACTTCGTCTAAAATAAGACGCGGCTTAGCTAAGACGCGTCTTATTTTTCCTCGTATAAATGGCCCTAATGAACACTTTAGCTGCAAGAATAGATTGACCTTTTTCTGATTATCGCCTAGTAACAACCAATCATATCTAATGTATACTAGTATGAAATCGAGCGTTCTTTTCCATGTTTTAGAGAGTAGCTCTTGCACAACTGCTGTAACGAGTGAATACAAGTGAGCCAAGTGATTAAATACAATCGACTCTACTGATTGTCTTAGCGTAGTTTTCGTTGATCTGAAAACCCTAGTGAACGGGGCAAAGTTCTCAACACCGATATATTGAGATCATTGGTGTGGTGTTTTTCAGTACAAATTATTTGCACCCTCCTGGTTGAGATGGAACTCTTTTCGGAGAACAGTTATGAAAAGTTGCGGCAATTTCCTTGGGGAATACATCAGGTGTTAACAAAGATTTAATGAAATATTTCAGTAAAAAAAGTATCTGTTAACCATTATGTACACAGTGAATAAGAATTTTGTCCAAGTGACAGTGCTGGAGATCATGTAAATAGATGGTATTTATTTTATTTTTCCCATATGTACTTCTCAGAATCTCCTTTTCTGTCCTTAGAGCGAAACGCTCAACAACTTTTTAAGCTTTGCTTTTTCTATCCTTTCTCTAACCAGGTATCCGGTGAGTTAGGGTACTACAGATTATCTTTATGTGGCCAAATATCCCATTCCTGATATAGATAGAAGTTATTGTCTATCTATCTATCTCTATATCATCTATTAGAAATACCTACCTTGCCCTCGTGAAACTCGGTTTTTATTAGCGCCACTCAAGTTAAGTTTAGGAACTGGATGTCTGACCATGCAGCCGCGAATATCGTCGTGAAGCTCTCTACTTTGTTCATTCTTCTTCTTCTTTCCGTATTGTCCGGTTTTATTTTTAAAAGTTAATCTAAAGCATATTTATACCATTATTTTGGTCGCCGGATTTGGAAAAAAGAAATACAAACACGGCATGTGTAGTTCGCGCGAAAATAGACCTGGCCACGGTTTTCGACGCCATCTTGACGAGTAGGCAAACGCGTGAAAAATTACAGTGTTTGTATGAGAATCTAAAGTCGAATAATTTGCGTAGAACGGCTGTTCTCACAAAAATATGATTTGTAAACTGAAGCTGCTCTCCAAAGAATTCTACTGAGAAAAATTGAGGGCGTTACATGCACTAGAATACCTAGAACCACGTTTTTAAATTTTCTATACATGTGTCCGTAAGCATGTCCCGGCAAAATTACAGACAAATATATGGAAAATCTAAAGCAAGCCTCTGTAGAAATCTAAGGTCAGGTACGCCCCCCAATTTTTTTAGGCCAATCCTTTGCATTGTAGCTTTAGTTTACCACTGATATTTTTTCAGAACAGCCCTTTTACGGAAATTATTCGACATTATATTCTCGTACACTCACACGTTTCCCTACTCGTCAAGATGGCGTCGAAAACCGTGACAAGGTCTATTATTATAATACCTCGGGCCGTAGTGCGTGGCTGAAACTTTTGTTCTTGGGCCATCTTAGTTTGATAAAAAATAAAGCACAAACAGCGGTGATAAACACTGTGAGCTTTCGTATTTTTATAAACTTGACGTTTCGTATGCTATCCAACATAAATTTTCAAAAGTGATCTTAAGTTACCGTTAAAAAAAATAACGAGACTATATATTCAAAAATTATATAGAGGATATTACACGGTGGCGCGAAGATATGAATTTTATTTTCGAGTGGCAAAACAATATTTTACGAAGCGAATGAGTAAAATATTGTTTTTGCCACGAGAAAATGAAATTCATATCTTCAAGCCGCCGCGTAATGTTCTTTTTATTATATACACAAAAAAACATCGATAAAATAATAGATTTTTATGCGCCAAAAAGTAATTGTGACGGCTCACATTTTCAGTACAGCAATATAAGACATTGTTTACAATAATCTTGAGAAATAACACTGCGCTGAATAGGGCTCTACAATGACATCTAGCAAATTCCAGTGCAAAGTGCAAGAACAAAAATGAATAAATAAATATGTGCTAATAAGGTAATAAATAATTGTGTTATAGTAATGATGAAATAAATAACAATCAGTTAATAATTAATAATTTCAGTTATAACTTACAGTAGGACTTAGAGCCATTATTTACGTACGTTTTATTCTTATTTACTTACTTAAAATATTTCAGTCGATCTGAATGTCTTATTAAAAGTGCATCAGCCAAACGATCTCTAGAAAAAGGATTAGACAGCTTAAATGAAATTTTGAAAACCTTCGAAAGACATTCATCCAGCTATCCACCACTCTCCTTTTGACACCGTTGTTGTCATAGCAACGCAATGTTTATTTTACTTAAGGATGCTTAGCCTGTTGTTTTTGTTGTTTTCCTTTTTCGTAGCATGTTTATACAAGCAATAGTCGCCTTCTGGAAACATTTTAAAGTCATCCTGACGCGTAGGTCAACATTAATGTTATTATGGCAACCGAGTTTTGACAACCATGTTTTTCAAAATTTGCATTTTCTCCAAAAAAAATAGGTTTTATTTCTATTTTTACTGATTGAATTATTATATTACACTTAATTTAGCATTATTTTATCAAAGTTGTTGTGACTGTTAATGAAATCCGGTTTGTTTAGAAAATAGTTTGATAAAAGAGATGAGTTTAATATCACCAAATCAGTGCACTGAGATGCTGACTTAATTTCAACAGTGTTCATTTCTCTCAGAATTTCATATTTTGCTGATTTGTTTACTTCCTATGCATCTTTTTATACTCAGAGTAAGTTTTCTGGAAAATATATCTCGATTTATACGAGTTTTAAGTAAAATGGAATACATTAAAATAATTATACTGGCGGATCCAAGATGGCGGATGCTTCCAATCATGACATCACTGTTATGGATATACATGTTTATCATTTATAACCAACTTCCTTGATTTTATCAGAGACCTTACTATTTAAGTATTTTTCGCTTTATGTCTACTTTGAGGGAAATATGGATTCTGTCAATAAATTCAACAATATGACATCATAATGATGTCAGGTAACGTCATTTTGTCAATCAAGTTATGAAGTTGGAAATGATGAGTACATTATTGTGTGTTATTAAAATTTTGGTGTTCTTTTTGTACATTTGCTTTCAGTACTCCTTATTTTTCTTGTAATTGTTGTATGCACGACCCCACCAGCAATGCTGATCTTTTTATCGTGCTGAAAATAAAGTTCTTATCTTATCTTATCTTATAGGATAAGCGGTTTTGAAGTTTTTCCGGGGGAGATTCTGAGGGCCCCCCGGTCGCAGGAAGCAAAAAAAGGTAAGGTCTGAATAGGTTTAAAGCTACGGTCCACCGTATTACGGTGGCCCAAAAGTGTCACGGCAATTTCAATTTACTCAAGGCAATTTCAATTGAAATTGCCTTGACACTTTTGGGCCCACCGTATAAAAGTGGTCATTACAAGATGAAAAGTATTATCCGAGGAACGTCAAGTTTGGAGACGAAAACTCTTTCTCTCAAAATTCCTGTTTATTTTACGAACAGACTCTCTTTTGGTCCCTAAACCACAAAATTCCAAGAAATGTTACGACGATAAAGAAAGTATAGAAACTGGTGTTGTCCCAGGCTTGTGACCAACTAATAAAGGCTGAACAATGTATGATTCCTTGCCGCCGCGTGATACAGGAAAAGCAGACTTTTAATATTTATATATTCTTCCAAATAAAAAGCCTTTTAGAAAATTTGTTATTCATCATGTTTCATTCTTTCTCATTCCTACGATTTAATTTTCGAGATCATTAACGAGGTTTTTTAACTTGTCGTATAATTTCAACAATCGGGGACATCAGTACTACCTTGACAGTGCCGAAAATGTGACCGACTTAGATATAATTTTTGCTTATGTAAGGCAAATATGGTGGTGAACATTTTCGGCGATGCTATCGATGACGCACTTGCTACTCAAATTTAAGGACATTACCTAACCCCAAACCCTCCCCCCGGCATAAAAAAATGAGAAAGAAAGAAAAAATATTAGCCGAGCCACCCTTAATACCGGGGCTTCAATAAATTGATCTTTTAAATGTGTATTTTCCGAGTGGCGTCCCTCTTTGACAATTGTCCTGCGGGATGAGTGTATTCAATATTACATTTCTACCTCTAGACAGATATCGATGAGTTTATATCTTGTTATTAATACAAGTGTGAGAGTAGAAATAAGGATGAATGAAAAGTGTAGTTTCAGTCATGT